TTTTGACTCTGTGTGCAAAGTGAAGCTTAGCTTTAAGAAGAGGAATTAGCATAGTTTTTCCCAAAATGAAAATAAAGTTCCATTCATTTGCAGTGGGAGCTTAACCCACAATCCCCTTTTAATGCCTTAGCAGTAGAAGGTAAACATGAAATCACACCTTAATGGGAGACAAAAAGAAATGGTGTCCTTTGACCTTAAGACAACTTCCCCATGTTTACCCATGACAACAGATTGATTACATTTATGTCATTCTTCTAATGTATTTTTGCTTCCAAAACAGAGAATGCATGCTATCCTCTCCTTTCTCCTCCCCCTCCCCCAAGCTTTTTTTCTCTTAATAGACGCAAAATGGCTCTATTTCCTATGTATAAGATAATGAATGAAATTGACTCTTAAATTCCTGACACAGAAACACATTTGATAAAGGATTTTATCAGCTTTGCTAAATACCACATATCTTCAGTTGTAAGACATCATCAATTATAAAGAAGCAGTACATTTTTAGATATATTTATACAGGAAAAAGCTCTTAGAATCGAAGAAATGGAAAATAATTGCTCAGATTCTTTCTGATTTGAACTCCACATTGAAGGTGGTAGAGATGTGGGGAAGAAGCTGAGGCGTGCAGTTGTCCTGTTTTGATAGATGTATTTCAGCTTGTTCAACATGATGATGTGGATGAATTGCTTGAAGAGGCCAACCATTGATCAGTTAGACACATGTCCAGCATGGCTCATTAAAGCTACCACAGGAGGATTGGCCAGTTGGGTGGTGGAGAATGTACATGCTTCTTTGAAAGAAGTTTATGTACCAGCCTCTTTTAAGGAAGCATTTGTAAGACCTTCATTGGTCCTCACTTCCATATGTAATTATTGGTGAATCAAATATTCCCTTTCTAAGAGGTCCTAGAACAAGTGATGAAAACATCAGGCTTTCTTGAATGAATCTGATTACTTAGATGCATTCTAATCCTTGGTTGTCTCCCTCTTTCCAAGGAGGTTGGATAGGGTGAGTACATCTCTGTTGGTGCTTCTATCTCTTTCAGTGGCATTTATATCATTAGTCTTGGTATCATTCTGGGTTCTCTAACTGATATGGGACTTGGGGGCATGCTTTGTATGGTTCTGCTCTTTCTTGGTTTAACATTTCCAGAAGGTGGTGCTGGGTCACTGGATTAAGCCTCTTAGTCATTACCCTATGAAGCTCCACAGGGATCAATACTGTGTGATTTTCGAACTCTACGTGGCTGGAAGATATCATCCAGAGGTTTGGGACTGGGTGTCATCAGTATACTGATGATAATCTAGCTCTATCTTTCCTTTACAACTGAGGCCAAAGATGCCTTGGCAGTACTGACTTGTTGTCTGGATGTAATAAGGGACTGAATGTGGGTAAATAGACTCAGGTTTATCCCAGACAAGATAAAAGCACTGCTGATCTGTAGGGGGGGGGGGGGGGGGATCAAACTAGGATTGAGATTGCAGCCTGTTCTGGATATGATTGCAAGTGGGATTCATGGCTTGAATACAGTGCTGTCTTAACTTCAGCTGGCATGCCAGCTGCTCTATTTTGGAGGGAAGTCTTATACACACACACACATATATACACACACACAACAGATCACAATGCAGGTACCTCCTATTATACTACTATACTGCTATAATGCATTCTACATGGGGCTGTCCTTGAAAAATAATTAGAAAGTTGTAATTAGTGTAAAATGCAGCAGTAAGACTTGTGTCAGTTGTGTATTTTAGAGATCATATAGCATTGATCCTTGAAGACCTTCAGTGGCTTCTAATTTGCTTCCAAGCTCAATTCAAAGGCTGGAGTTGACTTACAAAGCCCTAAATCAGTGGTTCTCAACTTGGGGTCCCCAGGTGTTTCGGCCTATAACTCCCAGAAATCCCAGCCAGTTTACCAGCTGTTAGGATTTCTGGGAGTTGAAGGCCAAAAACATCTGGGCACCCCAGGTTGAGAACCACTGCCCTAAATGACTTGAGTCCATATGGTCCTGACAGAAATTTTATATTTTCAGAGGAGACTCTCCAGCGGTGCCTTGAGTGTGGAACTCCCTACTCAAGGAAGTTAGACTGGGCCCATCTCTTTTAAACTTCAGCTGACAGCCAAAACAATATTGTTCCATATGGCACTCAGTATTTCAAAGTGCTGTTTTTACTATTTCAAAACTGGATTCTAGGATTGTTTTTAGACTGTTTTTATGGGGTTTAAAGACTATTTAATGTGTTTTTAAATATTTTATAATCTTATGGTTTTAATTAGTTTTTCATTTTTCATTTGTTTATTGCCTTGGGATCCCCTGTGGTCTTGGAGGTGATACAGAAATACTTTAAATAAATTTTGTCCTCAGCTGCATGGTTGGTCACACTATGCAGAGGGACAGAACTGAGTCTGAAAGAACAAAGATCATAGCAGTCATAGTATTTTAATAAGTCAACTGGTGTCTTTTTATTGCTTGGATAGTGCAGAATTTGCATAGAGAAGAAGGCTGGCAAAAAGCACTCATTGAGACAGATACTTTACATTTGCTTATGAACAGTTGTTCATTATTAAACTGAAGGTTCTTCTTCAAAATACATATATTCTCACTTGTATCAGACATTTCTGTTGCTAGGTATTTTGGTCTCATCAATAAGTAAGGTAGCACTGCTTTTCTTCAACAATGAGCAATACTGTTTTCTCTCATACCATGTGTGCCATTTCTGCTTCCAAGGAAGTTATCATCCAAGGCAGCAGGTGGATGCAATAGATGAACAGAAAAGACAGAGGAAAATAACATATAATCCCTTGAAATTCTTTCAAGGCAGCTGCACAAACATTACTGACGTACTTGGGGCAGACGGCTAATAACATGAATATTTGTGACTTACTTTTTGCCAGCATTCTTTTCTATGCAAATTCATTTTCAGAGCGTAGAAAACTACACATTGGAATTTTTTGTTCAGTGTGTTATCTGAGAATTTTCTATTACTGTAAAAATGTCAGAATGACCATTTCAGTACAATAGGACTAATACTTTTGTATTGAGCTGCACTTTTTCTATATGTTGTTCTTTATCATATTACGTCTAAATGGATATAGTTTTATAGTTTGACCATATTGCCAGTCTTGTTTACAATTTTTATTTTTATTTATGTTTTTAATTATCAAGTTTAGCTAATTTTTGAGGACATAAAAGGGATTGCAAAAATCTTTTTTTGTATTAGAAATGTAAGTGGCCACAAAACTTTGGACTCAAACTAATGCTTGTGGAACAGAAAGCTATGCTAACATAGCCCCCTTCCACACAGCTGTATAAAATCCACATTGAACTGATTTAAATGGTAGTGTGGACTTAGATAATCCAGTTCACGGCAGATATTCTGGGTTATATGGCTGTGTGGAAGGGCCCATACTTGCTGCTAGAGAGTGCAAAGAGAGCAGAGGTGTGAGGAAGTGGACATGGAGCAGAACACAAGCATTGGACAGGAAAGCAACTGGGCATTGCATAAGCCACTTGTGTATGGAAGTACTGGGTATTCTAAAATACTCTTCTGCTAAGGATTTAAGCTCCTGTGGGATCTCACCCACCGCTCATACAATTCTAATTCCAGGGAAGAGAAACCTATAGTATTTATCTGGAGCAGCTTATCAGGTTAATTTTTATCCTGGTAATTGAATAAAGTCTTTATACAGCAGCCTTCTCAGTGAGAAATCTACCAAGAGATTGGTCCTCAATTGCCCTGCTCAGGTTTTCCAAACTCGAGACCATGGTTTCTCAGTAGTACAGTATCTCTGTCTCCCTTCTATCTTTCATTTTACCCAGAATTATTGGCTTTTTAATGAATCACACCATCTAATAATATGCCCAAAGTATGACAGGCTTTTTGCTTCTAATGAAAGTTCAGGCTTGGTTTGTTCTAAGATTCATTCATTTATTCAGCAGCTCTACTTAGTTTAAGTCTTCTTATTATTCCATTGTAGTTAACGTTTTCTTTTGTTTGTGTTTTTGCCTGATTATTCTGCTACATATTTGTCACTAGACAGTTACCTTTAGATATTTCTGACCCCTTTTCCTTTTCATCTGTCATTGAATGAGGATTTTCTTTATTTTTGGCCATAGATAGTGGGTTTTTTTGTGTGTTTTCCCCTCATAATGCACCTTTTCAGTCCATAGTTGTTCTGTTTCCTATTTGAGTTAGTAACATAAATCTTTGTTCTACAGGGTTTTAAAATTCTGCAGGGTTATTCTTTAGGTTAGTATAATTTACTATAATTGATTTAGTGTACTTCTTCAGCTTTATTTTTATTTATTTGCAACTACAAGGACTAAGAATTAGCTGGTGAGAAGGAACATCCTGTCTGCTATACCTAGAAATATCCCAGCCCAGAGTCATACATGCTTTTTGACAAATTAATATACATATTGGGAGATAATCACATTTACTTTCTCAATTAAAAAGAATTAATCTGTTTTAGAGGTGTGTTCATGGCACATTGCAAACCCTCTGCAACTAGGACATTTTTTATGTGGAGCAAAGATTGGAAATGTGTAGCACCATTGTCCAAACATACTTAGCGTATATAGAAATGCTCTTTAAATGTACACTCAGTTAAATGTGCACTCGGTGCCAACTGAGTTGCCTAAAATAAGCTCTTTAAGTTACTTAATATATTTCCTTCATAGCATTATTTTAATATATTACAGCATGCTGATTTCTTGCTGCATTTGAACAAATGATTGACATTGATGAAGAACATCAAAATCATAGTGGCAGACATTAAATGTGACTTTGGTCAGAAGGTGAGGTAGTTGCTGAGGAAATAGCTTAAATGAAATCTAATCATACAGTGTACATCTAAATAGACATGCTGCATTGATATTGCTGAAAGTGAGACATAGCCTGAGGATGAGGAAAAACCAAAGGTATTAGATACTGGCAATATGTCTCTATTGGTGATTTATGTTACTTGGTTTAAAATGTCTCTTCTGCCCACAGGCATGGAACCCGTTGTGCTGGAGAAGTGGCAGCTACAGCAAACAATACACACTGTATAGTTGGAATTGCATTTAATGCCAGAATTGGAGGTAAGAATGTCAATCTCATATGAGCAAAATAATAGTTGATCAGTTTCATATTTCAGTGCCATTCTAGTCTATAGGCTTTGCTATCTGATAAGTGTATATGAAGAAGAAATTCTAAATACATTTTCTCAGGAATAGGTTGCATTGAACATTTTCTTATTGAGTGTATATCTAACGAGATGCTCCTGCTCAAATTTCTGTATTCTGGAATATGTCTCCAAAACTCACTGTAACTCTTAACAGGAAAATGTTATAACATGATGACATATTATAACATACAATTTTCTGCCAAAATAAATTGTTTGAATAAGTAGAGAGATAAATAGATTAATTTTAAAACTATCAGCATACTTTTATGTGACACCTCCCCCCCCCCCAAACACACGCGCATACATATATAGTTTTAACATAATTCCAACTGAAAATATACTTTGTTATGTCTGTGTAATCTGTGATAAAAGCCTTAATCGTGAAGTTAATACAATGTATATGTAAATTTGTAAGTCTGGGGAAACAAAAGTCAGAAAAAATGTAATTCGCATAAAATAAACAACCACAAACATGGACATTTATACTATTAATGCCTGTTACTTTATATTTAGAAGTTGCTGACTTCATGAATCAGCACACTCAAATTTACCACAGAGTGTGGATATAGGTGTGTGACATGTGTCTGTGGCAATGGTCCAAAATGATTGATCTTTTTTTCCAAAATAAGTACACAAGCACCTAGTTCACTGAACTGAAATTACATTTCTGGGTGGCAGCAGCACATGAGGGAAGATGCTGAGACTTAGATGGTTATGATCACACCTTCTTTTCAGAGGATTTAAAACCTATGCTTAGGCTTCTGTTCACAAAACTGAGTTTTCTCTCCAGTGTAGGAAAGACCTATTACATTCCTAGTCCGGTTCATTGACAGTTACTTGTGAAAATGGGGAAATACAATATATTTCATTGCACACTTTGCAGCTCGGGCAATTACAAAAGTTGCCATAGTGGGAGAAGCAAGCTTAGGTTTGCTGCCTTTAGTGGCAGCATTGTATCCCAGGCTCACTTAAGGTTACAGAGGAACAAAAATACATTCCTTGTTAAATGTTTGACTAGACTGTGTATATTTTTTCCATCATAACTCTGAGAAATTGCTTTGCACACTAGAATCAAGCAAGTAACAAAACATCTAAATCCCACTGCAACTTCCAAAACAATAATGGAACAACAATAAAGGTATTTCTGTTGCTATGAAAAGATTCCTATGTTCTCACTGTAAAACTAATTGAAAATGGCAAACAAAGTATAATAAAACCACCTCACTGGGCCATATCAATAATTCACCTCACCTAGCAACTCATTTTTGTTAATATCCGCTAGAACATAATGATGCAATAGATCGATTCATACATTCTCTGTTAGTTACAACTTCCTAATGTTTCAAAATGCGTAATAGCTTAGGGCATTCCAAATATTTGAAAAATGGTTGTAAAACATGCTTTTTACATGCTGTGGAAACCCTTACAAGAAGAATCCTGGGCCCCTTCCACATGGTTGTGTAAAATCCACATTGAACTGGATTGTATGGCAGTGTGGACTCAGATAACCCAGTTCAAAGCAGATATTGTGGGTTAGATTATATGACTTTGTGTAAGGTCCCCTAGACTGACAAAAAATTCATTTTGAGAATCATTTTGGGCAAAATTCATACATTGTTGCTTTGCACAGAAAATAGCAGTTTCCTGCAGAAAATATTGTTTTCTATGCAGAAAAGAAATCTCTGGTTTTTTTGCACAGACTGTGTTCCAAATTGTGATTTGGTTTCAAAAACCGAAGGAAAAAACACTTTTCTTACACAAAAAATTCTGAATTAAGCAACCTAGTGGAAAAATTACATATCTTTGGCAACCACTGTAAATTGGCATTTCAGAGGCACAAAACTGCGTTGTATGGGAGGAAGACAGCACTGTGTATTGATCTCTGGGCCCAGAACACCAACAAAACTATTGTTTACAGCTAAATCCTTTAACACTATTGCATCTGCTCAGACCCACAAGACAGAGGCACAGTATGCTTGGATTTCCAATAGACCTTTCTCAAACAACAATACCTACCTAAAGAAGCAAAGAAACATATCAACAAGTTAGTTAGTATTAATACCCAGAAACCATCTGTTACAAGATATATCAAAGACACAAAATGACAAAAGATTCCTAGTTGTCACCTACATTTCCCAGCTGAGACCAGTCAAATGCATAATTAATCCTGGAGAATAACACAGTCTCCTGACAAACTCTTGGAAGAAGGCTGTTACTGGCCTACGGACAACCTGCAAATCATAAATAATGACTCACTTATTGCAAAGATACATAACATAGATGGCAATACAGGAACAAGACCCTTCGACAACCCAAGATGCCAACTTTGTCCCCACATCTACTCTTGGATCAATATTACAGGAATCAATAACATCACTCACACCATTAAAAGTGCATTGACTTGCTCTTCCTCCAATGTACTACATACCATCCTATGCTACCAATGTTCCTCTTCAGTCTACATTTGACAAATGGAACAGTTTCAACATGAGAGGATTAATAAGACAACAATCTGCCATTAGAAGTGGCCATACTAAAAAAAAAGATTTAGAACATCCCAAACTTCCTAGAAATACAGCAAGGGATTTACAAGCCAAAGTCCTAGTACAAGAAAATTAGGAAGGAAGATTAGGAAGAGAAACAAGTGGATTGACTTATATTCACACATTCCAATTAATTAGCAGGGGTATGAAGAAAGATATAGCTTTATGGCACACTATGCATATTAATACAAAAGTTCTTTCTCTACTACACATAGAACAAAAGGAATCCTTTATGAAAGCATTGAACCCAGGGAATTGACTTTTAGTGTCACACTTTTACCTTCATTCAAATGAATACGATAAAGATCTGAAAGGCATATGTTGCCTTACACGGCCTTTTAAAAATTGGGTTAAGGGACATAATTTGCATTTTCTGGATCCTTTTACATTTCTACTCCACTCACACAACTGTGTAAATATGCTTTATACCTAAAATCTTAATATCACAATCTGAAGAACTGGATTTATATCCAAGAAAGTTCATGCTTAAATAAAAACCAGCTAGTCTTAAAGGTTGTGATCAAATTCTACCTGATCTTAGAAACTAAGCCAGGTCAGCCCTGGTTATTACTTGGATGGGAAACCGCCAGTTAATAACAGGCTAAGGAAGTTATAAAACAGTAGGCTATATCTAAGAAGCTCTATTTAAAATGCTTTATATGCTATATTTCAGAAGAAGTAGCGAAACTATCTCTGAGTATTACTTGCCTAAGAAAACCTAATGACATCCCTTAGTAAATAGGTGACTTGAAGACATAGAGACACATAGAGTCTTAAAAGTTCTGTCCTATGGCTATTTTTCTTCCCTTTTTGTTTTATACTGGGATTAGTTAAATTATTCAGTGAGGGTGCTTCCAGACGGTGCCAAAATCCACATTTTATAATGTGGCAACTGAGGCAAAAAAATCCCTGGACCTGACAGCAGGTCCACACAGTCCTGGTAAATGGTCCTTCACAGTCCTTACAGCCCTCCCTTGAAGTGGATTAAGATGGAGAGCAGACAGCGGACATCTGGTGAAAAAAATCATTCTGTTGTGCACTGGACCTCATACGTGTACATGTGAATATCTTCATGTAAACACAAGCATATTTGCATGTGTGCATCTAAGATCCAGCATATAACTGAATGATTTTTGTTTAAAAAAATCTTCAGTTGGATCACTCTCTTCCCCCAATTGTTTCTTCAATATCTCTTTATTATAAAGTTGAAAAGAAAGAGTTTCAGAGAATCCTAATTGCTCTCCCATTCTGCTTCCTGTGAGTCTCCTGTGTGGTCATGGCTCCATGTTTTGACAGCCCTATCAGCTCATCACCTGTTTGAGCTTTTAAAAGGCTCATGTGCACTCGAGCAGTTCACACAGGGGGAAGGGAAGGGAAGCACATGTTTTGCATGATGGCAGGGATACACAGTCATTCAAAGGTGCACATTGTGCACCACTTTAAGGTGCACCACTTTAAATATAGTTTTAAATATATCAAAATAAGCACATGTTGTCCACTGGCATAAATAAGAGTGTGGATGGCAATAAATCACAAAGATGGAAGAAAAACTCATTATGATGAGAGGATAATGTAATGTGTTGTATAAAATAATTAATTTTAGTTGAATGGACAAAACAAGAGTCAATATTTTGTGAATACCATTTTAATCTTCTGTTCATCTCACTTAGTTGGCTAGTCCATCACACCAGGGGGCCTTGCTCCTGGGTCCCCGGGCTAGAGCCCTGTCACCACTCTTCTTGTAGGGGTTGTGCACTACAGTATTTAGTATTTGTTAGCATTCTCCCATCCAAGCACTGGCAAGGGCTGGGCCCAGCTTAGCTTCCAAGATCAGACAGGATTTGCTGTCTTTGCTTCCTGCAAATGATAAATGGTTTCAGTAGGTTATTTTGGAGAATATTAAGGAGATCTGGATATAGATATTTGTATCAAGTTATTTTGTAGGACATTAATGAAGTGTAGTTACAGTGAAGCAGATGAATTAGTCCTGCGCAACCTGTGGCCCTCCATCGGATGCTGTTGTTGTAGTCTGGCAAGCATCAGAGGATTTTTCTGAATGTTCAGAAGATGAGGGGGATGATGGGTTTCAAAGTAGGAGTCTGTGAGTGATCGAAGGGAATTGCAGGCAGACGAGGATGATGTTTTGGATTTTTTTTCAGCTCATTCCCAGGCAATTGGGGGAAATGAAAGTATCAGTTCTCTTGAGAAAAGGAAGATGGGGAGTTTTCAAGGGAGAATAGATTAGACCTGAGAAAGCAGGGTGTAAAAAGCCCGCAATCAAGATTTTCTCAGAAAATTCAAGATAAGACCCAGGAATCCAGATGTGTCAGGCATGATGTCATGGGTGGCTTGGAGGGCTTAAATTAAGTGGTTTTCTTTCAGACCTTTCAGAGGAGACAATTTTGCTAACCAAGATTGGTCTCCTGTTTATGAATCTCAGTTCTTGGTTCATATATTGTCAAGATTCCTGTTTTATGATCTTGGTTATACCTTTGGATTAATTCTGTGATTTTGGATTTCTTGACATTTTTGGATTGCTGCTATTGATCTCTAGCTCCTTTTGAGAATTGCATTTTATATATGTACTAACTCTGCTGGATTTGCTCCTTTCCCCTTTTTATATTCTTTCTTTAATAAACATTTTCTTATTGGATCACTGGACTCTGGTGTGGTGCTGGGTGAAAGGGTGTTCAGTGCTAGGATGCAACAGCTGTAGTAAACTGCAGTGACAGGGACTCTCTGTCACAATTATGTATGTGTATATGTGTGTGTGTATTTGTATGGGTATGTACATATAAACAATTACGTATGTTCATCATATGTACTCTGTGGTTCCATTTTAACTATAATGGCAATAACCTATGGAATGCTAGGATCCAGAGTTTACAGATTGGTATTTAGAATGTTTATTCTGAGAGACTTAGTGCTTCTCTCTGACCAAACTACAAACCTCAGGATTTCATAGGTAGTTGGCGTGGCAGTAAAAGTAAAAACATAGTGCTACAATTGTGAAAGGACCCCTGGAATTGTGAAATATATATATTGGAAAGAAATATATATATTGGAAAGAAATCCACGACATTTGTCAGAAAGTAATAAAGAAAAGGGTCCTTTTCAAACCAGACTACTTTCTTCTAGGATTTACAAATACTCAATGGAACATCAAAGAGGATAAATTGTTTGTTTACATGACCATGGCTGCGAGACTAAACTATGCAAAACTATGGAAATTAAAAACAACACCCCAAATAGAGGACTGGATAAAGAAAATCTTTGACACAATGAATATGGATAAATAACATATCTATTATCAAAGATACAAAGTAAACCAATGAAGATGACAGACTGGACTCCATTGAAGATATGGCTAAAAGAAAATAAAGTGAAATTACTAATTTAAGAAGTGGAACCAGGTGAATGTATGTATATATACAATGTCTGTGGCTGTATGGGGGCAAAGATATATATACACATAGGATATATACAGAAGATGGACCACCAYCGGGGGAAAATCCRAAGAAAAACRCAAGTTTAGCAAACAAGAGATATAACCAGAGAATTCCGCTATGAAGAGAAATGGAAGAAGAWACGCCTCCCCCTTTTTTCCTTTCCCYCATCCTAGTTTGTTTATATATAGATAGAAAGAAAGAAAGAWAGATAGAWAGATAGATAGATAGATAGATAGATAGATAGATAGATAGATATAGATAGATAGTCCCCCCCCCCATACCTCCATCCCCACTTTCCCTGGTTTTATTGATGTAAAAAAAATCCACTAATAAAAAGTATTTTTAAAAAATTGTGAAAGGRCCCCTGGACTGTATTCCTTCCTACTAGGTTTGYGTGGAATKGCACAGAATTCTGTTCTGTTTTCRGATGCCCCCCTCCCCTGTTCTGTTTTTTTGGAAAGATTCTTCCTGAAACAGAATTCAGGGTTCCAAAATATGAATCTGAATGACCGCTCTCCTAATCTCCCGGAATCTTCTCGAAAACAGAAGGAGGGGCACACAAAATTCAAAATGAAAACAGAACAAAAAAAGTATGGATTTGCACACCTCTATTTCCTGCTTCAAAGGAGAACTGGAAGAATTATGCACACAAGTGGAAAATTTGTTCATATCTTGAATTTTTGTGCAAAGATTTGGCTACATAAGACTGTAGGAAAGTAGTAGTTAATGGTTCGCAAGCTGCACTGGCTCTCTGTACTGCTAGTTTGTCAGACTGCACTCTGGAGAAGATTTCATATAGCAGTGCTTGGAAAGCTCTTTTCTTGAGACTTTGGAATATCACTGCCAGATCAGGTAGCACAGACCAATCAACTACCAAACAGCAGTTTTTTTACATTTAGCTTCCACAGCAGATCACTTTCTAGACATTCTTCTGGGAATATTCATTCTTACACTAAAATATAAAAAACCTGAAATGGTGGATAATCCCTTTTTTAGTTCATGGCGAGATCAGTATTTGGACAGTTATTATCTCTCAAAGCAAGAACAATGTTTTGTGTGAACTTCACAGGGTGTTCATGCAGTTTCAAATCAATTAGAATTGGAGGTAGGGGTTGATAGAGAAAGTAGAGTTTTACCAACAGAACAGCAAAGCAGTGTGTTAATTGGAAGTTTAAAAACTGGATAAACATTCAAGCTAATTTATACCGAAGAGAGGAACAAAGCTGTTGTGTTTTTCAATTAAAAGATGCTAATTTGGTTTATAAATAGAAGTGTATTTATTAAAAGAAAATAAAAAAAATAGTGTGGGTTGCCAAGACATTTTTCTGTCTATTCTGCCGAGACTTTAAATATCTACAATAATATAAACTATTTTATGAAGAGGACAGTCAATTATCATAGATCCAAATATGGAATGTTAGTATTATTATTTGAATCAAGGTAAATATTAGAAATAGAGCTGCAGACTTACGTTTATATTTTGTCCAGTCATCTTACCACTATGATTTTCAATTTCATTCTCATTGGGTCTCTTGATGCTCTCCCGGCTAGGAACCTTAATGTAATTCCCTGAATTTTATGTTGGCAGGTTGGTGCCAAAATGACCAGACACTCACCAATTTAATTCTACTACAATATCTCTGTAGTAGATATTGTAGTTCTGTAGGGAGGAATTAAGAATAGCTGTTAGCTGGCACTGTCAGTTCCTGCACTGAAAAGGCAACTATAGTTTCAGGGTGGATTTTCCTTCCAATTTGTTTTGAAGATCAATTACAGTTGCTGCTTTGGCCTACAAAGTCCTACATTATTTGGATCCAAGATATCTGTAAGATGACTTTCCCCTATATCAGAGGGTCTTAAACTTTTTTTAGCCACTGATCCTTTTATGAAGCAAACGTTTCTTGTGGAGCCCCAATTATCTTTATATATTATATTATATATAACTTGTATATATCAGGCATGGGCAAATTGTTTGACCAACATAAACTTAACAGTATTTCAGTGGAAGACCCCAGGGGTCATCCAGTCCAACCCCCTTCTGCCATGCAAGAAAAGCACAATCAATAAGGGGGCTGAGGGAAAAGGCTTTTGGGGGAGAGGCAGGCAGGTTAAAAAGACTTTTGGAAGCAAGGGAGGTGTGGGAAGGGGAGAAGCAGAAAAGAAGAGGGAAATCTTGGAGGAGGAGGAGGGAACTGTGGAGCTCCTCAGTATGCTTCATGGGGCCCCAAGAGCTCCACAGAACACACTTTGAGAATAGCAGCTTTATATGAATCTGCTAGAAAATTAAGATCTTCAGAAGTTCTGCTGTATATCCCAATACGTTGGGCCCATCTGTATGGGCCAAATGAGTGAGGGCAGGGGTGAATGGACTTCATGGTGTCCATATTATGCCTGGATTGCATCTGTTATAATGCCTCCAAGGACATTTATTTGTTTTCATGTGGTTTTTTTTATTTGAGCTAGTAATCCTCTCATGCTGTTTTTGTGATAAGGAACATACTAATGTTAATTTTCTTGGAGGGTCTTTTGTGAATGAAAGGTCATTTTTTTAAAAAAGAAGGGAGTTCATTGGTGACCGTTCAAGATAGTAAGGGAAAGATAGTTGAATAAGTCAGCTGTGAGAGTCAGGGGAAGTAAATTTGTACTGAAGTAAAACTCTAACAAAGTCCAGTTTGAATATTATTGTTGTATGTTAGGATAGGAACTAAAGCAACAACCATTCTGTAAATTATGAAAATAAAACAGCTGGCTTCTTTAAGCTTGGAATATATAGTGTCATGTTTACCTTTAAAGGAACTAAATGTAAAATAAATGTGTATCATGGGCCTCCATGGGCCACCCTGGAGGCCCATGACCCAAATCCAGGAGGGGTTTAAGTAGGGAAGCAGGGGGCTAGGCGAGAGGGACAGGCATTCAAAGCTTGGATCTGCAGGGCTTGCCTGGATAGACCTGTCACAATGGGACTAGAGCATCCATAGGTTTTGGTACCCAATGGGGGTCCTAGAACCAAATATCAGGAATATCAAGGACTCACTGTTTGTCATTCTGTATATTGTTTGTCTTTTCCGGTAATCCACCCGGATTTTTTTTATAAGGCTATCTAGCTAATCAACAACATTGTTCGGATTTTTTTTTTGTGGAGGGACAGCTGTATACATTGAACAAATCAATCAAATTTGTAATTTTTATCATTGAACAAATAAATTAAATTTGTCATTTTTGTTTTTAAGGAGTACGGATGCTGGATGGCGATGTTACAGATATGGTAGAAGCAAAGTCACTTAGTCTCAACCCCCAACACATACACATCTACAGTGCTAGCTGGGGACCTGATGATGATGGGAAGACAGTGGATGGACCTGCTTCTTTAACACGCCAGGCCTTTGAGAATGGCGTCAGAACGGTACATGCATATAAACACGCATATAAAATAATGAAATTTGTAATTACATACAGTATACTGTTGATGTTGACAAATTTTATAAAAGATAGGGAGTGAGACATTTTATGCTACCAGGTTTTGTTTTGTTTGTTTTTTACTGTAGCAGTCTTGGGAGAATATTGATCTTGTTTCACAGATTTTCTGAATTAATTACAGTATGATCCCCGTATTCTTCATGGATGTGTTCCCAGATTTTATGTGGATATGCAAAACTGTGAATAATAGCAAACCCTAAAGAAATGATATACTTCCAACCCTAGAATATAATGGTGTCATATTGGAAAATGCCTAGAGATTACATTTTTGTCAAATGTAGATTTAAAACATGTAGGTACCAATCCCGTGCTTCTGGGGATCATGTAGTATAGCAAAATCTAGAGATCTTTTTTTCTGAATGAAGTACAGTTGGACTTTGACTCTGTTATCAATTCATTGTCTTCTAAACATAATGAGGCATCTTGGCATTGTGAGTTTTCAGATAATTGGTAGCCCATTGATAATAAATTCAACAAACATGCAATTTTATCCTCAAGCAGTGAGCTGTTCATAGTAGTGTCTTCTGAAGATCTTCGTGCCAGTATGTGAATATCCAGGAGGTATGGGGAGTGTTGTGCCTAATGCTGGGAGTAAGATCAGTAGCTCAATTCGCTCTATAGCCATCATACTGTATAATGAACCTTTTTTGTGTGCAGTGCTTGTATGTAGCAGGCTTATTTGGGAGACAGTAGTTCAATGTTCTGGTAATGGAAGTAAAGAGAAATGTAAGGTAGAAGCTCTTTAAAGCAACAATGCTCTCCATATGACCAGACCAAAATGTTTAGCCAGAATTATAATGATGTGAAATGGTAGATTTCTGTATGTCATTTACACTGTAAAGAAATATACAGTGCATGCTTCCTTTTGTCACAGTGATCTGAAAAATGCACAGCCTCCATTCTGAAGAATATAAAGAAAGTAATATAGCACTGAAAAATAGTTTTTGCAGTGACACTGTACCTTTCAACAGGTACACTTCTTTATACTCTTTACAGCAGAACACCAATGGGAAATCTTGTAGAATTTCTGCTCATTATTTAGGCTTTCTAAAGCAAAGAAATTTGTTCAGTGGAAGTCATATACCATCTATAACTCAGAACTGTGTATTTTAGCAAATCCTGACACTTACAGCATTTTTATTATCTATTCTGAAATCATCAGTAGTCTCCGATACAGATAGTCCCCTAAGGGTTTGAACTGAAAGACTCTAACAGACCTCTTTAACAGTTCCTGTTCATTTTTTGGCCAAATATGCACTCCTCTCTCTGTTGTTTCTTTTAGTTCTAACATTCCGATTCAACTTTGTTTTTATTATATTTTTGGAAAGCATATAATCTAAATAAGACTCAGAGTTTCTTCAAATTCTGCCAATTGGATTGTAATACTTGGGTTTTAAAAACAGGCAGGAGAACTGGGTTCCAAAAAACTTACTCTTTATGTTAGTGCTTTGTAAACAATCATTAGACTTTTATATAAAAAAAGTGTACCAAGAAGGACAATAAAAAGAGGATATAGTTGTTCACGCAGCACATTTTAAAGTATGAAAATCTATTTCTCATATAGTAGTGACAGTTCTCTCATTTTAATATCTTCATTAATTTAATATCTTTAGAAGGGGGTTACAGATAGCTGTAGAGGGGAAGACTATAGATAGTACTATATGTAGCAGCTTTTATAGTATGTCTCAGTTACTGGTAACACAAATAGGAGAGTGTTGTGCACATATCTGATATGCGGTCTTCTCATGAACACCCAGTTGGCCACTGTGGGAACCGAATGCTGGACTAGGCCTGATCCAGCAGGATTCTTTTCATGTTCCCTGCCAAATCTTTCACTAGAAAGAATGTATAAAGGATTTACCATGTCCTTCTGTTTTGCCACTTTGCCAAACGGTGCATTCTTTCAAAATAGACAATGGTCCTCACTGTGTTTGTAACTATTCCCTTTTGGAAAAAAAATACTTGGGAAAATTGATTTTTCCTGATTTCAGCAAATGCTGTAATGATGGGAATGCAGTAGAGGGGGAAACAATGCAAAAGTGAAAAATTCATTGTGCAAAGTTTGTGGTTGATAAGAAAGGATCAAAATCAATTTCAGAGGAAAGGGACTTTCTTACCACACTTCCTATAGCCAGCAGAATCATGGTGGGAATGAGTTATGGGAAACAGATTGCATCTTGTTGTCCAAATGATAACCTGTTCAGGCATTTTCGTGCCAGTGATGTTTCACCATACACCCTCACTTTGGCAAGGACTGTACCAATTAATTGTCTGGCATTCCACTTTTTCAGCTGCTTTTAAATTTTCTCTTTCCTTTTCTCACTTTCTCTTTCTCTATAGTGGGTAAGTGGAGAAAAAGGGCACAAATCTTGTGGGCACAGGGGCACAAGTAAGCTCAGACAAAAATAAAATGCTATAGCCTTTCCTATTCACTCTCCAATTCCAGTAGTCCTGAAAGGCAAATTATAAAGAATCGTTAGTGGTAATAAGGAAAGAATAATCTGGATTTCTGTTTCATCTCACTTCAAATTTTCCAGTTAACAGACTTTTTTAAATTTAAGTAACTAAGATAAAATGAACACAGTTGATTCCCAGCAGTATAGAGCATAAAGGCTTCTACTAATCCAATTGATGATGGTCTTAAAATTTTATAGATATTTTAAATGTCATTAATAAAGAGTGTGGTTACAATCTCTGACTAGACATTGTTTCCATGACAAACTGCGACTCAGAATCCCTCAGCTAAGTCTCATTCCCCAGCAGCATGATGTAAACATTGATGGATTTTAAAAGCCAAACTTCTTTGAATATAATTTTGCATTGTTGCTTCCATGGATATACTACTGTACTTCCTGCTTCAAACACTGTGTAGTAGAATTTTACAGCTTTTGTTATTTGCACTCTTAATCAAGATTGAGTAAATTGAAATGGGGACCCAGGCAGAAGATTCTGGGGACCATTCCTTGTTTTGGGAAAGCACTCTTATCTCCTATTTTCATTTTCCTTGCCCTGAGGTAGTCATAAAGAAAAGTGTGAAATAAACTGTAATTAGCTGATTGTATTTGCAAAGGTTGAAACATAAATTATTGCTACCTTATTAATAGAAAAAAGTACTGCTGAGGATTGTAAATCCATATGAAAAATGGCATAGGGCATCAGTAGAGGCAACGGATAGAGGTGGAGGGGGTAAATAAAGGCACTGAGAAACTGGATGCCCAGGCAGTGGGGAAGGCAGCAAACAATAAGGCAGACAGAGAAAGGAAAGAAGAAACTGAGATCTCCTTCCTTTCCTAACGTGCTTGCCATTTTTTTTACTTTCTTGTGCCCAGAGAAGCACCCATGTGAAACAAACACATATGTGTTGTATAAGTCTGTTTATACTATTTTTCATTTGCTATGTTGCTTTTGAAAGTTGGGGAAGTTCAAAAATCATTTACAGTTCAGTGTTTCTGCTATTAATAAGTAAGAGTAGAACAGTATTAAGACATGCTTCCTGTAGATCATTGCTATGAAAAATCATGTAAGATAGGACGTTGAAAAAGATTTTCGGAATATGTTTGATCCAGCTGTCCACACTTCCAAGATTGGGAGATCACTCAGAGACTTCTGTGGTCTGTAGATGTGGACTAATGGTGCTGTAAATCCATCCATGCATGTGTGAATCCCTGAAGCAGCTGAACTGTGAGTCCATTTTATTTTGGCTGTGTAGACATGTCCTAAGGACAGATCTACACTAACAAATACTTTGGGGTCAATCTGGCATGTTGTAGGCTAGATCAGCCCCTGGTATGGGCCACAAAAGGAATTCTCAAACCACTGTGAAGGCCAAAGGATGCCTCCACCTCTCCATGATGCCAAGCTGTCATCCGTTCTGTCTCCCCACCCCTCACTTCATGGTGGTTTCCAGTCACAACATGGGTTTTACATGAAGGCAATCACTTGCAGTTACACAGGCTATGAAGACGAAGGGAGGAGTGAGGAGGCATCCCCTCCTCTCCCCTGTCCATTCCTGGTGAGAAGATGACTACCATCCCAGAAAACATAGGCTAACAGTGGGGACAGTTGCAACCAGTTCCATTTTGGAATTAGTCCATCCCTTTAACAAAGGCCTACTTTTGGGGGACTTTGGCTAATGCAGGACATGGTAACATTAATATTACCTTGGATCAGCTCCACATCACATTGGCTGCCATGAAACTGCGCTACATCAATCTAAGTGTAAATGTGGCCGATGTTTCAGACTTAGTCTAATCACATAAAATTAAATTTCACAATTGTTCTTAATTTTGAGGTTCCAGATATGTTTTCCAGTACAATTGTGTTTTTGGAATCCCGTAAAGAGAAAGGTAGCTCGTGTTTAATTGATTGGTAGCAGGTAAGGGTAAAATCTGTATCCTGCCACCATTAGTTAACTCCTAACTAGCCTCCCAAAAAAACTTCCTTTTACAAAAAAAGGGCCTTTTTCCTGTCTCTATGCACAGTTTGTAAATACAGATGTTAAACTTACCTCTGCCAAATCCATTTTCCAGTTTGGAACTGAGTGCACTTAAACATATTGAAATAAGTTAGTTTAAGCATGAATGTTGGTAGTCTATTGTCTCTTTTGAAGTGGAAAAGCAACACTGTTGCTTCCAAGTGTCATACAAAACTGTTGTACAGTAAAAGCACCTAATAACTAGGCCTGTATACCTGGTTCAGCCAAAGTCCAGATTCCAGAGTAAAGTATACTGCTTTGGTCCAACTGGGATTCAGTTCAGATTGTCTTAGATTGAGTAGCTTTAATTCTAGATTTGAAAACAAAAAGAATGGGTTTTTTCACGAATTATATTCTCAGTGACAAATATCTTAATTCCTTTTGTTGCTGCTGTGAAAAGGCCCTCAAAAATTGTATAGGCTACATAGATGTTCCTGGGTGATAAGATTGTA